CGGTCGACGCTTGTGTAGTAGAAATTAGTTAAGCGCATTATCCGGAGGTTTAAAACACTTTCGTCCAAAAAATGTAAAGATAAAGGCGCAGCTGCGAGAGAAACAGCAGCTGTGAGACCGTCTTCCCATTATTTAATTAGAACTACTATAATAAATACATGTTTAATCCGCGAACGGACAATGTTTCGTCTCCAAACGGAACGTTAGAATTCACGCAGTTAAATTTTCGCGATATTTAAGAATGTAACTTAATTTTTTTCTTCTTTATTCTCTCTATCTATCTATCTATCTATCTATCTATCTCTATCTCTGTTACGGCGCAACAATGGGAAATGTGCCTAAGCTTTTAGATATTTTAAACTATCAGGATGAAACTGCATGTGACATGAGATGTGAGATTCAATAAAGTTAGAAAAATTACCATAAAATACTTGGTAAGGGCGTGTTATTAAAATTTCATTGAATTTTATTGAAAAGCGAAGACAAGACTATATCTCAAAATCTTGTTCCTAAGATCACATCGATCCGTATTATAACTTTTATTAGTTTTAATAAAGTTAATTTTTGTTCAAGCGTGGTTATCAGAAATTTCGTTAATTTAATCTTCTTCGACGACACCACGATCAAAACGTCAATAAGATTTTCTATAAGTTTTCCATACAATTTCCTTCTCCTTTCCTCTTTAATAGGTCCTTGAAAATACATTGGATTTTATATGAAAATTTCTTATCCTTTCCCTTTAAAAGATATTATATTCTTTTCTTTATCGTTCGTCCTTGGTTCGTACGATTTACTTTCATCGTACTAGATTCTCTCATGAGGATCTTCTCCCTTGGGATTAAATCGCATAGAGATCGTAGAAACGGATACTCGATCTTTCGTATTATTTTCGTAACGTATAGTCGACGGTGCGGCTTGATTAGATTGTTTTAATGAAACCGACGAACAATGCACGAATAACTGTGGCCGTGTGTCGGCACCCTTGGAACAATGCTACATTTCTACGGACGTTATCGCTCTCACCGAATGGGTGTTGATGGTTATCGCCTTGAGGTACGGTTAGCCGAGTGAATCCTCACGCGCATAATGTCAGAGAGTTTCCACAATGCACTGTCCTTTTCCTTGTTCGTAGATCTGTCAAATTTCTTGATCCTTGAACCACATAAATTCTCTCGTTATTTTTTCTTTTCATGTATATTCAATGACACGAAATACAATGGACGTTAAAAAAATAAAAAATAATATCTGTCCTACGAATAATAATATCTTTAACTAATTACACTTATTTTCTCTTCGTATGTTTTAAATTACGGCGTATTTTCTATGTTATCGTTCATTTTTACTTTGGAGAATCTCATAAGTATTAGTCGTGTTTACCTCGTTAATTTACGTGTGCTTTCGACCAACGTCTAACTACACATCGTGGCTAATTTATCCCATATATTTTCGTTGAATTCTAGGAGAGCGCGTTTCGAGTCTCGGCGTCGAAGTAATTACGATTCGTATTTACAAAGCTGTAAAGGAATGTAATTCCGTAGAAGTTCTCGTTTGAAACGTGGACGGGGGAGCTCTTTCTAACGAAATTAACGGAAGATCGTTTTACTGAATGTAATAGTAAACTCTGGTAAAAAGATTCGTCTCTTTAGAGACTGCTATGACAAGTATATCTTTATTTTCTTTTTAAAAATAACGTACATCTAATACATATTAGTTTACATTATCGAGGATGTATGAAAACATTAAGAAAAATTAAAACAATACATTTCAATTAGTCTTAATACGAGCGTCCTATCGTCAAAACGTTTTTCTCGATCTATCAAAGTAAATACAAACGTCGATGGATTCGATCGTTCTCATTGTAACTTAAATAACTTAAATTACGATAATTCTCTAAATTCATGACGATTCATCGCTTATGCCGATGAAATCAGCCGGAATTTAACGCGTGAAAAGAGAACAACGGATGGATGATCGGTGAAGTGAGTAGCTTCTATTGCGATCTCGAGATCGGAAATTAATCGATTAATTAGCAAGCTGTTACGCGCGTTCGCGCGAATACAGAAGTAATTCGTTTCCCCGTTTAGCCGGACGCTCTCGTCCGTTTCTGCACTGGATGGCAATTTCACGCGTAGATTGCTTTCGAAACGAGTGACACTTTCGAAAGCGAAACCCTACACTGTTACGTTGCTTTCTCCCCCGACGTTAAAATATTCATTTCCCGCTTGATTATTCGACGAGAGGAAAATCCACCTTTTTCTTCTTTTTTCTTTGATGATTTTCTTTAGTTTTACCTTTCCTTTTATATACATATAACGAGCCCCTAGACGAGGCTTGCTTTCGACCTACTTAGAGTTTTCTTTGTTTGTTTTTCTTTTTTTACTTTCAGATTTTATTGAGAAATCTCGTTTCATCATGGTAAGTTCGTCCTATAAAATTATTCGAGATAAATACCAAAGACTTTTCTCGCGAATTCCCTAGTTTTTCCTTTTCACTCTATTCGCGATCTTATTGACGATAAATTCCATTAGTACTTTATTTCAAAGACGACAAAAGAATTTGTATTGATTCGAGACAACGGCCACTCGAAAATCGAAGAAAATTCCTTACGGCGGGAATACGCGACGGAAACTTTTTCTACCGGCGAAATAAATCACTGTACCCATTGCAGCCATCGCCCATGGCTCATTTAACTTGCTAAGAGGTTCTATTCGGAAGAACGGCCATTTTAAAGAGCCATCCGGGATAAGAAATTCGACCGGGAATATCTTTTTTTCTAGATGGCGGCTAATAATAATACATTGAGACTCTTCCAAAATTCATCTTGGATTCTTTTAGTTCGTTTCTTCGCTTCCCCCTATTGTGCGTTGGTTTAATAGAGGAACGTACAAATCGCGTTGCTACTGCTGACACACATTTGAAACTCAAATACTAAATGACATTCCCTGTCTCTAAAAGATTTTCACGAGGATCTCGAGTAGATTGACGTTTAAATATCGTTCATGGCCAAACGATGAGAATTCATTTTAAGCGCTATCATTTTTTATTCACGTTCGTTTCTAAAAATATTAGTCCCACGTATAAGTTTTATAATAATATGGTATATCATAGTTATAAAATTTAATTGATCAAAATAAATAATTAAGAATATATCATGGTAATATAGGCATGAAATTAATATACATAGACGAAGATAATTAGAAGGTTATGAACAATAGGTATTCCTCAAGTCATAGAACTATTACATTCCAATCTGATCTTAGTTGGTTCCGTTCTCTTTCATTTTAATTCGTACCATTCTACAAGTCATACATAGCGTCTTGGAAGATTCGCTTTGGGATGCTTTGCAGAGAGAAGCAAATGGTAATGAAAAGGGAAGTTCCTTCGTCGTTGTAGGGCTCAGAGTCCGCGAAACAGGTGCGATTCCGCGAGAATATTTTAACGTTCCTCGAATGAACATCGTACGAGGATTCTCTCTCTTTCTCTCTCTCCCTCTCTTTCTTTCTCTTTCTCTATCTCTCTCTTTCTCTATCTCTTTCTCTTTCTCGCTTTTGTCAAGCGGAAGAAGGTCTATAGGTCCCTATCTTGCCGCGGGAGCAAGAAGCACATTCAAGATATTCGAATAATTTCAGACGGAGGATTATTCATGAGCAACTGCGACGAGAGAGGATGTAGCGTTCTACTTCTATTCACCGTACAGATGGGCCAGCCGGGGTCAGAAAGGTTGCTTTACGAAGCGGGAAATCTACTTGGATGAGGAGAAGCGACGAAAGAGAGAGAGAGAAAGAGAGAAAGATGACTAACTGACGGCATCCAAGCTTCAATTAGTTCAAGTGCACGAACAAAGCTGACAGTGCGACATTGTGTGAAACGAGTCCTCGTGAGGTTTTCTTTGGCTCGTCTATTATCAAATTGATTGTCTCTCTTTCTCTCTCTCTCTCTCTCTCTCTCTCTCTCTCTCTTTCTCTATCTTTCTCTCTCTCTTTCACTTTGTGCATCTTTCGATAAGATACAAAGATCAAATGAGATCATCTTAAAGTTTTGTCGAAAATCATGCGTTAGCAATAAAGCAAGCTATTGGTAACATCTTAACGTCTCAAAGCCTTGAATAGGTATTGAATGCTAATCATCGTATCAACTAAAGAGCTCAAGTTCAAATTGCTTCGGAAGGATTTATTAACCGGTCTAACGATTGTTAATTGGCTCTACGTTATCAGCGATTGCGGGGAGCATTAAAGGGCCGATCCTCGCGTTCACTTTGTTTCATCACGAGCGAGCTAACAACCGAACGACCTTTCGCCACTAACGAGGCACAAGGCGCCGGTAAATGAAAGGGTGTATAGTGAATCTCTCTTTCGAGGGTGACGTGAGTATTCGTCTGTTCGATGCTAGGGCTGCTTCAGAGTGAGAGAGAGAGAGAGAGAGTAAGAGAGAAAGAGAAAAAGATAGAAGGAGAAAGGAAGCACCCCTTCGTCCGATTCTCTTGCATTAAAGTGCCACCGAACGTAGGATTTATGATCACGGGAAGAGCCGAACGCTTCGCGATACGTTCAACAGGGGTTAACAGAGCCCCTTTTCCTTCCGAAAACTTTTTCGAGATTTATTGTTCGCGCAAGCATACACACAGATACATGTGCACTAACATCATTTTGTAGGAATCCAATGACTTGACTTCATTTATATCGAATAGGTAGAATTAACGAATCGATTTTTATCGAGTTTACAACACTTTGTCGGGGAGATTAATCGCTACTTGAATCGGAGGCGTAAATTGAAGAGATCAAAGTTTTCCTCAAGTAATTTCCTTCTCTCTCTCTCTCTCTCTCTCTCTCTCTCTCTCTCCTCCACGTAAATTTTTACTGTGATAAATGACGTAAAAGTATACTTGTGGATCAACTATCATAGATATAGAAAAAGACAGGTGGAAGAGATTATTAGATGGTTGGTTAGATTTATGATTATAGAGGATTAAATTGGACGATGGTCATTTCTTTCTGTTCCAGGACGACCCATGGTTTATCCACCCAATCAAACGGTGACAGCAAACGAGGGCGAACCCTTGGATGTCATCGTCGAGTTTTGTGCAGAGCCCAGTTATACACGAGTTTTTTGGATGTCCGAACAGCAAGTTTACATACCCGGTGCTCCCTCTCGGGAAGGAATACAAGCTCTTGACATTGAGGTAAACGATTTTACGAGATCAGAATGAATTTCAACTCCTTTTTTAATATAGTAAACTTTCTTTTGTAAATTTTCTAAAATGAAACAAAAATAATTTTTAACATACTAGGTATCTATTAAATATATATACATACATATACATACACACAATAATATTAAATTTTTCTTTTTCTCATATAGTCTAACAAATGTTCATATGAATTGTAGAAGATACATGTTTCTTGATTTCTACTGTTTCTCTCTCTCTCTCTCTCTCTCTCTCTCTCTCTCTTTCCCCCTTTTTTTCTCTCTTTCTCTCTCACATATATTCCGTGATACGTTTCTCTTATATATATTATCTGATGCGGTTTCCCAGAAGCGAATAATTAATTCGCAACATTCCAACGTCTAGCTACTAGCTATTTCTCTTCCTCTTCGAAGGATGAAATACAAATCACCCTTTGCGATCTAACACAATTATTTGAGGAGAATTGCTGTATCCTAACGTTATCGTCGAAGACTATATCTACATTAATACATGGATTATCATATCGCGTTTGAGTTTTCGTGAAATTCGCTCGTTTGATTAGTTTGGAATCAAAATAGAAAGTACGTGAACAGCGACGAAATGAAGAGATTTTAAGGAAATACATAGATATCTCATCTCCCTCTTTCCCTCTCCCCCACTCCTCTCTCTCTCTCTCTCTTTCTCTCTTTCTCTCTTTCTCTCTCATTCCCTTTCTCTATATCTATCTTTACCTATCGTTTGTATAATTACAATGTATACAGAAATTCTCCGAACTCTCTGTCTCCCTCCCTCTCCCTCTCTCTCTCTCTCTCTCTCTCTCTCTCTCTCTCTCTCTCTCTTCGAGCACATCATTATAGCGGAATTGAGAATTTATCGTTTACATAGTCGCTTCAAAATTAATCTAATGAGATGTTAATTGATATAAGTCAATTATTATTAAGTTAGTATAAATATTTGTATTACATCTTTTAATCAACATAATCTTTACGAAATTCTTTCTATCTTCGAGAGAAATAACGGTATATATATAGAACGTTCTTCGTGACGATGAAAACGAAAATAAGATTGAACTAAGAGCAAACGATGAATGGAAGGAAAAAGTTGCATGTGAACGTCGAATTGAGCATAGAAAGAAGGAACGTGTCGATGTGAAAAAAGGAGAGAGAGAGAGAGAGAGAGAGAGAGAGAGAAAGGGAAGAAGAAGAAGGAAAAAAGAATTGTCGAGAATAGAAAGCAAGAGAAACGAATAGCTGAAGGTAGAAACTGCTAGTGCTGGGAAAAGAATGAAGAATGAAATCGAGTCGAGGGGCTTCGAAATTCGGCGGTTGGAAACGTCGAGTTAAATGGAGCAAGAAACTGCGACTCTTTGCATGTGAAAATCTCGCGAATGTTCGCCAACGTCTGTTTCGAACCGCAAAACGAAATATCACCGACGAGGAGTCATATCGAAGGTTCTCGATTCAATTACGCGAACGTATATGAAAGGCAGTTATGCAAAAATGGAATAAACGTGCGTTGGCGGTTTACCAAATAAAGACGCGAGATCGTGGCTCGGAGAAAGCTAGGAATAGTCTAACTCCGTTTGGAAAATCAATTTGCTAGTTGTATTCGTTGAATGAGTACTCGGTTCTTCGATTGAAAAATTGAAGGTAACGTTGAACAAGCGATCGAGAAGTCTTCATCGCACTTCAGAGAATAGAAAAAAAATTCGCTTTTCAGAGATAGAAAAAAATTAGCTAACGAGCATGCAAATGGTTACATAGAATATAAAGTATTCAGAGTTTATCAAATTATCAGGGTAAATCGATAAAATCTGACGTAATTAAAAAAAAAATTGATTTTCTTCCGTGATTGGTAAAATTGGAAGCTGCTCGAGTATTGAGAGAGAGAAAGAGAGAAAGAGAGAAAGAGAGAGAGAGAGAGAGAGAGGGAGAAAGAGGGAGAAGGAGAAGAGTGAAAGATACGAGGAGATGTAATTATTGCCTGGTGAGCCGTGCATAGTACTTCGTATCGTTCGTTCATCGCTATCAATTATCTTATAAACCTGTAGGCTATGTTTGACCTACGATCGATTCAATTCGATTGATTTCTTATCTTTCTTTTTTCTTTTTTTTTCTTTTTTTTCTATTATCCGATCAACGAGCGATGAATAATAAAGCGGCGAAGCGAGGAAGTACATGGAATGAGTAAAAAATCAAGTAAATAAAATGAGAAAAAGAAAGAAAGAGGAATGAATAATTATTAAAACAAGAAAATAAAAAATTTCTGTCGCAAGAAAATTTCTTCGTAATTATCGTAGAAAATGGAAAGAACTATCGGTTAACGAGCATCATAAGATAAGAAAGACAGCGTTTGAACTTGTCAGAAATTTATCTCGAACACTTAGAAGCTTCAAAAGTCGAACTACGATGCTTCAAGGAATTCGAACGATTTTTACGAGCGACGTTCGTTTTAAAAAGATCGCTCTCGACTCTTCCCCTTCAACATTCATCCTTATAATCTTCGAAATGGAAGTTCTTGCAAAGTTAAGCCACGGACGAACATCGCTCAGTACGTTGATAGATTGTTTTGCGAAAACGAAACCTTTTCCCTCGAACCTTTCGAATTTATCAACCATATTTACTCGAGTTTACACTTCTCATATTTTTCATTGACACGTAGTCGCCAAGTTTAATGATGCTTTTTGCTCGTAAATTACACCGTAACGACATTGACCCTTTGGAGTTTCATTTATCGAGCGACATTGTGATGTTTCGTAAAATAGACGAACGGTCTTTGTTTCATGCGATAGATCTTCATTTTCTTTCTTAATGAGAAACTTCATTAATTTTTGTCTTCTTTTCAAATGAATTACTCTTCAGGATTTTAATATCGATGAATGAAAAAGTGCGTCCTCGTTGAAAAAGTTTTAAATTAAAAAGGAAAGATGTCGATCGACTTTGTTTCGCTAATCAAAATGCTTTACGGTATTTTAGAAAAGCAATATCGTTTCGTTCGTCTGTCTTATTCATTTTTATTCTCGATGAAAATCTGTTCATGGAAAATTTCAAAGAGAGAGAGAGAGAGAGAGAGAGAGAGAGAGACACTCGATATAAAATCACTGCAAGCCTATGCAAAAATGAAGCTACGCTAATATAGTTGCTACGAACTAAACGAGTCTTTCTCTATTCATGTGTCCCTTTCTTTCTTTGTCTCTCTCTCTCTCTTTTTCTTGTCCTCTTTCTCTCTCTGTCTCTCTCTATTTCTTGTCCTCTTTCTCTTTCTCTTTTCTTAACGCTCATTTACGAGCCTCCCTCGTTGGAAAGATCTAATCGAAAACGTTAACAAAAACGCGACGAATTAATTATCTGTTAAGACGATATTAACGAGAAAACTTGTAAACGAGAAAACTTATTAAGAACGATAATAACGAGAGAGAACTAAACGTTCCTCTGAACCTCTCACATTACTTTTGCTATTATACTCGTTTATAACTCATTTAAAAGAATCAATTGTGAACCAAAGAAATTCGTCTTCTTCATGGTGAAGAATATTTGACGTTCCTTCTGAATAAAATAAAATAAAAAAAGAAAGAAAAAATTGTAAATTGAAATATTTCAAAAAATGAATATACAGGAAGTATTTCAAATTGTCTTTTAACACTTTTAAATTTCTTTTCGAGTCTTTTAAATTAACAATTATATTTTACGATTATTCCGAATGAAATTTTTGTTTTAAAACAAGAAAAAGGAAAACGAAATAACATTAAAGATATTCGAGTTAAAATGGAACAGGCAGTATAACAGTTTCCTATTTGACACTTGGAAACCTTAATCGTACTAGCATGCACACACAGTGAGAGAGAAATAGATTTAGTTCAAACAATGAACACTTCCCGGCACGCGTGACCGAGTATACGAGTACTTGAATTCCTCTTCGTGAGCTTGTATCTGTGTGGTATCGTAATACGTAGAGAGAGAGAGAGAGAGAGAGAGAGAGAGAGAGAGAGAGAAAAGCAGAGAGAGGGAAAGGAATAGAGTAGGACAGAGATAGAAATAAAGTTTCAAACGCCATGTTACACGAGTGAAACGCTAAAGGGAAACTAGAGCTGGCATGCATAACTCACTGTACGATAAACGATTAAAGCGCATTACCCTTTCTTAATCATTAGTATTTCCTTGACTTAACGTTCTAACTCGCTCATCGTTCTAACTTTATCGTAAAATCTTGAAAGTTAAAAGCCGTATATCTTCAAAGAGATACAAATTTCTTGTTTATGTCATTAAAATCTTCATCTATCGATGATCATTATTAATTTTAATAATTTTTTGTTTAGAAATAAACATTTAAAAAGATTACGATAATATCCATGAAAAACGAGATAGGATTATAATTATTATTTAAAAGAGAGAATTTTAATTAATTATTTAAAATATCCCATATTGGGACGATAGAAAAGAAGTTGAAGAAAAAAAGAAGAAAAAGAAAAAGAATTGTAAAAAATATTGTCTATTGAATTCGCTTGTAATGAAGCAATATGTTATAGCATTAAAAGTCTCTAGCTTTGAAGAATTTTTCGTTTTTTCGTGAAAGCGGAAAAACGAACGGAGCGCAATAGCCATAGTAGCAGCTCGTAAATGTCTTCTCGTCGTTGTTGGTTTTTTTTTGTTACAGAACGGTGGTACCGAGACGTGCTACAGGGCGATTTTACGCTTCGAAACGATTCAGTGGTCCCATGCTGGTGAATGGTTGCTGCTGGTACGCTCGTCGAAAGGGATCGCGGACGCTTCCGTTTTACTCAACGTGACGCGTGCTTCCGGATACAGCCACGCCCACCTCCGTTCGATGGCTCCAGCGTCTCTCCTTCTCTGCCTGACCTTGGCCATTATACAACAGCAGCATCCACGCTGAACCATACCGTTCTACGGATCTTTGGAAAAAGTTTCGAGGGGGATGAAAGTGGTGAAAAGGATAGTAGAGAGGGTAGGATGACGAGGGAGAAGGGGAAGGAAAGAAGAGAAAGAGTATAAGAGTTCTACTGCCTCGAGAGGAAGCGATACGAAGGAGAGGAAGAGAAAACGTTCAAACTTTCGACGTAAACTTTGTAAATAAATATCGAAGTTCGTGCGAGAACCGAATCGATCGTAGATCGAAGAACATCGATCTGTTCGCAAAGTCCTAAGAAAACGACGATAATAACGCATTTTATCCTGCCCTAATCGACGAATCCCTTGCGAAACATTTTACGGACCACCATCGTTTCTCCGATAAGTATGGAAGGTACCCCACGAGGAAAGCATGGTTTTTCTTTCTTCAAGAGGTATCAATTAGCATTTAATAAAAGAGTGTGTATGTATATATATATATATATATATATATATATATATATATATACATATATATATGTATGTATGTATGTATGTATGTATGTATGTACGTATGTATGTATGTACGTACGCAGAAAACGTGTGTAATTCGTATTACATGCCTATGTAATATATACATAATGATAATAATAACATTAACGATAATATGGATAAAAGATAATACACGATACATTATTGAACGATATGTGTTACATATTGAGTAACGATACGTATTACATGGATTCGCATATGTTATTATGGAAAAGTGATAAACGTTATCGGTAAAGTTCCGTGAACGTTTATGAAGAATTCGTTGAGAGAATTGGAAATTTTTTGTTTGTTCATTTATTTGTTTGTTTGTTTATTTGTTTGTTTTTAGGGCAAGATTGAGCGTATAAAAACTATATGTATATATTTGTATAGATCAGTTTTAAGGGAGCATGCACAGCGTATACTTATTCTCAAATGGGTAAAGATAAGGGTAAAGCGCGAGATAATAGGATTCAGACGAGGCGACGACCAATTACGTTCGTTTCGAGCTTTTTCCAAAGCGACGAACGTCGCGTACCGTCCGTCAAATGCGGCCGAGCGACTCGTCGTAAAAAAGCCGGGTAAACTCGGCGATGCGTAAACTCTCATTTTCATCGCTGAATATCCCCGTCGAGATTAAACGTAAAAGATTTAGTTATGGAAAAACAAAAAAGAATTAAGAACTAACGCGTTATGTATTACAGCGAAGATAAATAGGTAAAAGATCGAAATAAAAAAAAAAAAAATTGTTGTATATTATTTTTAGGTAATTACCTAGAATAAGTTTAAGAATCAATAGAGTGTATATAGTGATTGTAAATGCATATAGGGTGCCGTACGATGTGCCGTACGAACGAATTATACAGTGACGCTGTTAGAGATATATTTATTATTCGTTGATATATTTTTATAAAGTTTTATTTAGCCATAAGTTATCGTTCGCCTATCCCTTCCCGATACATCGTGGCACGCGCCATCGTTCGTTCGTTCGTTCGTTCGTTCGTTCGTTCGTTCGTACGTACGTGCGTTCGTTTTTATTCATAGAGAAAGTAATAGAAGCTAAATTGGGATGGAAGAGAGGAAAAGCGACGGCCATTTTCGATTTAGAAGTTTTCTCCGTAAGAGAAAAACGTTTATCTACGCGTTAAAACGTAGTGTCACCCAGTCGACTCTCATCCTCCGAATGGACAATTCTAAATCGAAGTTAACGATAGTTACCGTTACTGCAGAACCGTGTAACATTGTCGTTACCATTGTTTGATCTCTTCTACTAGTATAGTAGTAAAAGTTTGGCGTAACTCCCTCGCCGTTCGGTCCATTCTTCGCTCTCTTCCTCTCTCTCTCTCACTCTCTCTCACTCTCTCTCTCTCTCTCTTTCTTTCTCTCTTTCATTTTCCAATTCTCTCTTCAATCCTCTCTCTTCCTCTCATTCGCTTTTTAAACCTTTCTCTCTCTCTCTCTCTCCCTCTCTCCTTTCTCTCAAATTCGTTCGCTTCGTTACGCGAACTTTCCGTGAGTTCTGCGGTTCCTAATTTTTAAAAGTGCATATATATATATATATATATATGTGTGTGTATATATATATATATATGTATGTGTACACATATATAGTTCACCAAGGGATATTTAATTCCATTCGCGAAACAGAAAATTTGCGCGATAGCCGGACACGGTGTCGGTGTATACCTATAGATAAAATGAAATACCTGATGTCTTTAATTTTTTCCTTTCCTTTTTCCTTTTCTAATTTTAAACGACGAAACACAATTTCATTATTGCGTAAGGTGTTCTAAGTAAGCAACGTGATGTAATCGTTGTACTCAATGACGCCTAAAAGTCCAATAAATGATATTTACAATACACTTATGCCAAACCTATCTCTATTTCTCTCTCTCTCTCTCTCTCTCTCTCTCTCTCTCTTTCTCTCTCTTTTTCTCTCTTTTTCTCTCTTTTTCTCTCTCTCTTTTCTTTTTTACTTTCTCTTTGTCTCTTCTTCTTTACTTTTTCGTTTCTTCAACGGTAAGTTACTTTCTCAAAGTGGACGAATGACATTCTTTAACAAATTCCCCGACTTTTATTAGAAATTCTCTTATTAAAATTTTAATACTGTTCTTGATAAATGCCGAATAAATTTTATAAACAATATAGGAAAGTAATTTTGTAACATTATATTTTGCGCTGCCTTTCCTGCTTTGTTTTTTCTTTTTCAATATTTTTGTATTATGCAAAATAGAATATATTTGTTTTGACATTATTCGACGTAGTTCTCGTTTAAAAAAAAAAATTTCTCGTTTTAAAAAAGCGTTGAGAGCTTAACGATAGTACTGGTAAAAAAATCACTCTTCGAATATCTTGTTTTTTAAGTAAACGAAACGTAGACAAGACAATATGGAACAATATACGGTAGAGTTTATATTTTCGTTTCTATAGAAATAAAACAAAAAAAAAAAAAAAAAAAAGGGAACGAATTCTACAATATTCGACTATATTGAAACACGATTGAACAAAAGGAAAAGCAATCGGGATAGTGAATGAATATCAATTAAAATATAATTCGTAATGGAAGATAGCTTGGGTCGAAGATAAAAGGGGAAGATAATTTCGTTCCTGTCGCGAAACTCTCATCATCTACATAGACAAGAGCGTAACATTGGTACTTATAACAGTACCACTCTGCTTAAATATAACAAGCTTCCCGTTAGTTCGGAGAAACGAGAAAGGAAGAGCGAGAAAGATATTCCTAGTCTGCCGGAAGTCTACCTCGTTCTCGGTGTACGAGAAAACAAGGCGGCTTTGTCTCACTGTATAACCACCAGCACTACCACCAGCATCAGTATGAACATTACCACCACCAAGAGACCACCAACACTAACGCTATGGCCAACCTCGCGGAAACTACCTTCCTTCGCTACCTTTGCGAATTCGCAATTTCAGCTTTTCAGACGTTACGCTCGGCTTGAAGAGGCGAGAGGCGTAAAAAAAAGAAAAAGGAAAAAAAAAAAGAAAAAGAAAAAAAAAGAAAAAAAAAGAAAAAAAAAAGAAAAAAAAAGAGAAAAAAAGGAAAGAAAAGAAAAAGAAGAAGAAGAAGAAGAAACGAATGTACATCACCGGCATCTTTGCCAGTTTGAACAATAAAACGTGAAAGAATATTGTTATTCGCGCTTGAAAGGTCAAACGTTTGTATCGTCGTCGTTGAAATAAAATTCTCATATTAATCCTACAGAAAGGCGAAGTGCCTTATTTGAAATGCCTTTCGAATTTTTGAGTCGATTAAATGTTCATAACTATGCCAATATGATAAAACGAAAAGCGATAATACGAATTGGATAAAAATTCATTGGTTATCATGAAAATCCATTGAGTAGAATTTTCTAAATCGATCCAACGTAAATTTTGATTATAGTTTTATTCAATTTCGTTTCTCTTTTTTGTTTTTTTGTTTTTTTTTTTTTTTTTTGATCTACGTTTTTATTAATAATAGGATCTGCTTGCAGTATACGTCATTATATGATCGAATCGATTTCGTTAATGTCGCAACATTAATTATTCTAAAACGTAATTTAACTATAAATCTTGGTCAAGTGAAATTAGAACAAAGTCCAAATACGTCATCCGAAGAGTAAAGTTTTAAGAAAGATAGGAGATACCATTAAACAAAGCAGATTCATCCGCCAATCCATCAAAACTTTGAGATTGTTTACTTTAGCTAAGAAAATTTACTTGACACACAGGAACAACTATGTATGACTATTACTTCAAAACATCGAAAGAACAACAAGCATCAGTACAAGTACGAACGACAACGGTGATACACCTATACGGTGTATGGCATTTCAGGTATATATACATATATAGTTGTTAATTTTTTAATATATTTCACATTAAAGTTTTTAATATTCCTTTCACTTTTTTATTTCTTTTCCTTTTTTCATTAATCTCCGGTTTCTCTTTGTACCTTGCAATTAGAGAAATGGAAGTATATTATTTCGAATATATAAATTAATTTCCTGTATTATCGACGAACGAAAATGATTTTATTATCTATAAGGTTTATTGATCTTTCTCATATTCTCATATTTCTCTTTTGTCGAACTATCGTGTATGTCTCATCTTTAATATTGTTCATGTATGAATGGACATGTTCATTATTATTCATCTATGATATACATATTCAATATCATTCATTTTCAGTTCATTTTTTTTTTTTTTGATAAATATATTCAATATTGTTCATATATTATAAATATATTCATATATAATACATTAAACATGTTCAATATTATTTATACAGATACAATAAAAACATTCGATATTATTCATATATGATGATTAATTTTATACTTAAAAGATAAAAATTGGATTAATGGCATTAACATTTTTCTTTAACGTTAAATAACAATAGAATTGGACAATAAAAAGCTTATTTTCAAAATTTATTTTTCTCCAATGATATCTTGACGATATCGTGTACATACGTAAAACGAATGTTGATTAAATAATTTCTTTAAAATGTATTTAAAAAGTTAACGAAAAAGAATTGTAAAATCTTTTAAAGAATAAGTTTTATCTTTCGTTTCGTTTACATTATATATTACAATTATTTATTATATCCTTTTATATAACTCTTCAATAAACCCTTCAATTAAAATAGACATCGTATATTAAGAAAGTATATGACGTTAATAGACAATAACGATATGTCAGTTTTGACATCAAGAACGACGTTATTGTTGAATATAAAGAAGGGAAAGTAGAGAGAAAGAGTTTACATAAAATAGCCGAGACGAAAGTTTTTTTCTGGTAGCAAGAGTAGTTGTTAATTCGAGGGAAAATGAAGAATAAATAACTTGACTATCTTCGTTACGATATTGCTAGCATTTATCTAGACGAAGCTTTTCTCTATCTTTCTCTTGTTGAAAATCAAGTTCATCAGAAGGTAGACAATTAACAAAAGGAGCGAAGCTTCGCTCCTATCCTCTCACGTCGTCGATGGGAGAAAAAGAAAAGAGATGGAGAAGGAACGAACGAATATAGTGTGTGTGTATAAGAGAAGGAAAATGAAAAAGGAAGAAAGAAATAAAGAAGGAAGAAAGGAAGAAAGAAAGATAGAAAGGAAGGAAGGAAGAAAGAGAGAAAGAGAGAGAAAGAAAAGGAAGGGGAAAGCTCTCGAGGAGAACATAGACACAAAGAGCCAGGGAATAAGAGCGAATAACGCCTACGCGGAGCTAGTAAATTACTCTTAACTTCTCGGAGGGGTAAAAATTACGGAGTTGTAAGGGCAGAAACCGAGGAGGATTTAAACCGTCCCCTTGCCTCTTTCTCCTAGCAGCCTCCGGGGTCGCTCTTCGGCTGGTCCCACAGGCGAAGCCATAATTTTTACGCTATCTACACAGAAACTACTCTTTTGCCGCGTCGACTCACCACCACCATCACCACCCACCTCCTTCCCTTCACCTGCCCCATCCTCTCGAGAATTTCTCATCGTTTATTTATTTATTTATTTTCTCGCGTTCAGTAAGACGTAACTAACTAAGTACATACGTTATCGAAACACAGCTGGTATCTCATCACGTATCTCCCATTAAGTTTAAAAATCTCTAAATAATAAATGTTCTTTGTTTACACAAAATATTACTATTACGAAGAAATATCCTCTTGCCGATCTTTGATCGAACTTTTCTTTTTTCTTTTTTTCTTATGAACAAAGAAATCATTATCTCGTCGATTATGTTCGTAGTAAAATTTTTCTTCTTAACTGACGGCAAAAGCTTTAAATCCTGGTGTTAAAGGAACGCTCGGTTAGTCCTTTAGTTCCATGCGATAAGACAACCGAGTTTTTAATGCCGCATCTTTCTCTCTCTCTCTCTCTCTCTCTCTCCCTCTCTCTCTCTCTTTGCTCTTTTTTCTGTCTTCCTCTATCTCTCGAAAACGGGAACTCGTAGATTTATATACCTCCTCGCGTTCACATTCATTGTACCTAATTCGCGGCAATGTTTGTAATATTCATTCGCAAGGAAATATATTTCTATAATCTATTTACAAGAGAATATAATTCATTTCGTATATGCGCTCTAGAGTCATCAGTGCAAAATCTCTTATATTATTCGCAAGTATTATAATTGGATATTTAATCCACTTGACTTTTTTTCCTTTAATGTCAAAATAAGTACATCCCGTCATTCTGTCTATGAGAAATTTTTCACTTCCTCGCGTAAGGATAATTTTCAATACAATTACCGAGACAATTTAAACGCAACGTTTGTTATATCGAAGAAAATTATCCCAGGAAAATCCTTCAGCAATTGCCGGAGGCTCGTCCTGTAACCGTTGGTTAATTGCAATTATGTTCAGGACTTTAATGAGCTCCCGAATGGTTTAGACATTGCGAGCCAACGGCCAACAAAAGATAGCAAAATTCATTGTGGTTCAGGAAAATAATAATAATTGGAGAACGTCAAGTTCTCTCTAAATTATGAAACTTAAGACAAATTGTTTTCATTCTGTCGTTAATCGGGGGAAAAAAAAAATCGACAAAGAAGAAGAAGAAAAAAATAAAAACGACCGACGACGACGAATCGTTTTAGTGAGGATCATCCGGTAAGAAATTCTGAAAAGAGAAAGAAAATGAAAAAAGAGGACGTCTGGATCGATCCGTTTTCAGAGACCAAATAGTTTCAGAAGCGAATATTCGAGATCTCCTTTTCCCTTTCGACCCTTAAAGTCGCATCTTCATAAGAGAAAAAGTGCTGCTCGAAGAAGCTCGAATCACGGGAGGAGGTTGACTGGAAGTAACGCTAAAATCGCCCTCTAAATGCTAATTCCTCCATTTTCTCCATCCCACGAAGTCTCGCTCGTAAGATCGTTTCTCCTTACCT